GAAGAGGGTCTGTGCATGTTGCACCATTGCCCCTTGCTCAAACTACATTTGTGAAGACAGACCATTTTTGCATACAGATGCACAAATACATGTGAAATAAACACTGTGCATTGCACATGCAGTTGTGCATGCCCATTTTTACGCACATTAGGTTTAACAGTGTCACAGTTCTGAAAGGACACAGCAATGTCCAACCACCATGACACTTTGTGAGCATAAAGGTACATTCTGTTTCATCATTGCTGGATCTTAGACATTGTCTGATTAATTAATATGGACTATTGTAGGACTTCATTTAAGAGCCAAAATCCCACCAGGTAGGTTGCACTGTACAAATACATGTTCACAGTAAAAACAACACCACCATAATTCATAAAAAGACATAAAATCAGTGTAAAAGGCAACAGTGAGGATTAATAACAATAAAACAGAACCAGAGCAACAGAACAACTGATTTGACACAATATCATTAAAATGAAGAAAATAATTCACCACCCCCAGATCAATTAACTGAAAGAAAATATATTTACCGAGGAAAAAGCAATTTGGAACTAATAGGTGTTTAATACCCATTTGAAGGCTTGTAATACTGGCACCAAATGAGTCCATTGGAAAAGACCTCACAGGCATGGAAGATAAAAGGGAATAAACACATGTGCTGTTGGCTCCTGTGACTGGACTGATGTATGAAAGGGTTTAGGATTTTCTAGGCCTGGTATAAATTCTTTTCAACTGGCCTTTTGCCCTTACTGGTCAGCAGAGCAAAACTCCCTGCCTAGGAATGCTTGATGAAATTCGCCTCTGACTGTCTTCCAGATTGCATCAACAACAATTCCATTTCTCCGCAGCGGTCTAATCAATGAGCATATGTGCTGGTGCACATAAATAACCTGGAAGGAGGGGAAAAACCAAGAAGAAGAAGAAAAATTCCTCTTGAAAATTGCAGCAAACTAGCCATATACTGCTTTCCAAAATTAATTTCTGTGAGTCTCCAAGTCAAATTAGAAAGCAATGCAACGTGATGGGTAGAGAGAGCCAATTTATGGAATAATAATAAAATGAAAGACATCTGTTCACTGAAGAGCTTGGAAAAGTTCTTTTTTTAGGAAGCATGGAAAGTATCGATGCTGGCTGGAGAGTTTTGGGAGATGTGCTCCAAAAAAAGAGGAACTTTTCCAAGCTCTGGTTCACTGCTACCCTGGGTCACTATATCCTAACTTTTCTCCATTGCCTTCCCCTGACTGCAGGAATCCTAGGTTGAAGAACACAGATTACCAGAACAATTTTAAGCTTCTTTACTCAGAAAGGTGGATATTGGGGTTTTGTTTTGTTTTGTTTTCAGTTTATTAGCAACTTGGTGTAATCCACACTTCTCAAACCAGCAGATGGATCAGAATTGCTTTATCTTTTGGATCCTACCCCAGAGTTCACTGAATTTTTCTGTTCTCAGCTTTAAAAATATCTACAAACATGTACACATTAGGGAAAGATGTATACATAAATGAACCCATTAGGAAAATATGCACATTTAAAAGGGGACAAGTTTTGAGGTACTTTCAGAATTATGCAAAATTCCATGGAGTCATTGAACATAGACATCACAGACATAGATTGGATATTGACTGATGTATATATCCATATTCACAAGTAAAGGTTGACCTACAATATTTTGCTGCTTGAGTCATGAGAGTGCCCCCATGATAGGGGACAGGATGAGGTGGGGCTTGTTGGGAAGTCCTACAAATGTTTCTCTTTTTCTCTGGTAGTTAAAAAAGTACAATAACAATACATTCAATAATAGTTTGTTCTTCCATTTGAAGTCAGTCTGCTGTCTGTGATGTGTGTGCATGTCTGTGTGTAGTGTGTGATGTTTGCATGGCATGTGTCTCTGTGCAATAGCTGGAGGCTTCCATGTCAGTAGGGTGGTGATCCACTCCAAGTTTTTAAAGGATAACATTTACAGATGACAATAGACCCCAGTAAGAATAGCTAACATGTACATGAGCTAGTAGCATGAGCTTTCATAAACTTGGTCTACTTCCTCAGATGCATGTTTTGGACCAGAAATTGATGAATTATCCACTTTGATCAAAGATCATTGGATAATTTTGTGAAAGGTTGGGGACCATTTATACAATTTGTAAAGAAGAGAGCAGGGAAGACTGCAACTTTGAGTACTGAGTATTGAATTTTTTTGCTTTCATCTGTTTATTTATGGTTGGAGTGTAT